AGCTACGTCGCACTCGGAATGGCTCCGAGCTGATGGTTGGGAGTGTCGACAGAAGTCATGGTCAAGGACACTGTCCGTGTTGCAGCATCATCATCAAGACGCCCGAAATCGACTGCAAGGTGACGTTCGTCTCGCGTTGGTCGTCGGTGGCGACGTTGTTGAGTCGTTCACGCGGATTCTCCCGAATGGAGAGAATCTCTGGCATCCGAATGATGTCCGCGACATCATCACCAAATTCGGTCTGATCGTTATCAGACGTGAGGGCGCCGATCCTGTGCGAACGCTGCAATCGATGTCTTGTTTACAAGACATCGTTGATCAAGTGTTGATTCTTGCTGATGATGTTTGTCCTTGTAGTATTAGTTCAACAAATATTCGAGCTGCTATAGCGGCTAAAAGATCGATAATGTTCACAACTCCCTTTGCTGTCATTGAATACATAACGGAAAGCTGGTCTTTATGCTAGTAGTAATCATTTTAATCAATCTTCAAAAGTGATAATAAGTTAAAGATTCGTATTTTAGCTATGTGCGTTGCAAATAGGATCCAGCATACAAGAAATTTTACTTCTTGAAACGATCTGGTTGTCGGGTATCAATCATTAGGCTTTCAATGAAAGCGTTTTGTTGACTAACTTCCTGTCTGGGATTTCCGAGAATTCATTAAAAAGGCAATCGAATATGGCATGGTCACCCTTATTCCACTTTCAATGATTCAAGATTCATCGATGATCGTTAATTTAAGAATTTAAACTGTGGTTCATGCCCTTTCTGTTGTCCTCGTCATGATTCCGTTATCCTCTTATAATCCCTATTTACCGCATTTAATGACTTGGCTTCTGTGGATTCCGCCTATCAGATTAGGCCTTTGGATAAATTCGTGCGGGTTTTGTTAAAACTGTATTATTACAGGATATGCTAGAGTTTTTGGTGAGACTTGAATCAGGTTGTCCTCCCAATCATCGCTTTAGGGGGGAAACCACGAAGCGTGTGTTGAATAACGATAAAGAAGGATAGTAATTGATCTAAGGATGCGCTTACGGGAATAAGCAGGCCGGAGAGAAACTTTCCAATCTGGTTGCTGGATGTGCTAGATGAGCATTTTGGTGAAAACTTCGATGTGCGTCGGCTTAGTCATGCTTAGGCTGATGTCAGAGTCCGCGATCCGTCGCGCGATTCGCACGAATCGCACCACGGATCACGGAAATCACAAGAGCTTGATCAATACTGCCCGCCATTCCAACTAGATGGTGATGGTTGACTGGCGACTGTTTGTGATTTTACTTGTTTCATATTCAGTGTTTCAAATGTTCAAATGGGGCAAAATGGTTCTTGCGATTTGCGCGAATCGCGCGACGGATCGCTGACTCTGACACCTACCTTAAGCATGTCTTACGCCGTGCTTTTGATTCTTACCTATAACGAGTCTATATAACAAGTGCCGAGCAATCTTTTAGTGGCCACAGTCGGCCTCTTGAGCCATTTCCTAGCCGCAGGGTATTATTTAAGGTCTCTTAATCAATTTCGGCTGGGCAGCTTAAGCTAATTCAGTCAGTAAGAATGATGTTGTTGTTAAGAGGTATTGCTTTAGAGCGGTTTTTCAGCAACGAAAGGCTCAATTTAGAATTAGAGACGAAGAAAATGCTAACGGAGAAATATGGTATAGTATTATTTTTAAAAGTTTTATAGCAACACAGTGCGAGTTGAAGGAAAACCGCACGAACTTATTTCAACCCAATATTTTTGTAACTCTTTAGTTTGGCTCCGATTAGTGCCCAGTGAACACCAATATTTTTGTAACTCTTTAGTTTGGCTCCGATTAGTGCCCGTCCCAGTCAAACTAGTGGACATTCAGAGGTACCTTTTTCATTGTGTACTGAGAACATTGATATCTGGATTTTCAACAGGTTTAGTAACAGAACGAAGGAATGGTTGCACTACTTTTGGCGTCAGGGATCCGTTTGCCCAATCCTTCAACGTTGTTTTTGCACGTCCCTGGTGCCAGCCCTGTCCCTCCCCTCACCGACAGCATCTTTCTCTTTTGTTGTTTTGCGGCACAGTCCAGCATTTTTCGCTCAACCTTGATTTATCGCTTATTTTTGCAGTTTTAAAACAACACACAGGCTCAATCACACAGGCTTGACAATGATCTCTTCTACACCTCTTGCTCTGCTTGTATGCTGTGATCTGATTGTGAATTGTTGATGCAATATTTGATAACTTTAATTTAACTAACTAGTAATGTGTCAGATGTCTTATAGTTTGAATTGTCGACGTTGGCATTTCAGATTGACTAGATGTGATTTTTGTGTCGTTTGTGGGATTTTCTCACTGTTTATTTTCTATGAAATGAATGAATATTATAGAATTCTTGTTAGCAGTTCTGGGATGAATGTGTGAACATATCACAGCATATATCTTGAAATTTTATCGAATAGTTTATGTTTTGTTGTGCAAAATGCACGGAAGACATATGGGTCTGACAGCAGATGCTCCCATCGGACCATCACAATGTCCGAAATCAATATCATTGTCAATGCAGCCTGGTCCTTCGTTTTCTTTTTAGCTTCTCAAGCTGTTCTAGATTTAAGAACATTTTTTTGTTGATCAATTATGTCAAATGAGTTGTTCAGCGTGTTTAGGGAACGATGGAGGAAGCCCGTGGAAATGGTGCTAATCATTCGGATCCCGTAACAATTTCTGTACAACTTCCCCCTTCGGCAATACCAACATCGCAAAGTGATGGAATTTCCAAAGGTATATTGATTTACCTGTTTTTTTTTGACAGTGGTGTTCTGGCGTAGCCATAGTTCTGCTTAGTGGCTTCTTCTTAAAACTGCTGATTTCCTCAACTCTGTTACTTCTTTCGAACTATGCCTTATTCTCAGGATATTTGTAAGCCACGATGAACACTTTTTGAACTTGTTTTCGGTTATTAGTGCGAATGGTGCCCCGGGAGCTTAATATGTAGCGCACTTGCCCGGTAAGCAAGATGTGCGAGCTCAAGACCCGTCTGGGGCAAAAGTTTTGTGCATGACCTAGCCTTCTTGTAAAACTTGTTCATTGAACTGTTCATGATATATCCGTATGGTGAAAGCATTCCATTTTTAAAATGAGGTATGCTTGTGGATTTCCTGGGGCCGTACCTCTGTGGAGGCATTTTTTTCTGATTGTCGTAAGTGTAGAAACGCGGAGCATGGCTGTTCCTATGACGTAGCCCTGTCTCCCCCAACTTTAGGATAAGATCAGCACCGGGGGACGCGTCCTTCTGGGGGAAAGGATAGGATACGGCCCTTGGAAGATACCGCTGACATTCACTCTGAAATAGGAAACTTGTCAATTTTTACGCTAAAAATGTTCGGCTTGACATTTCGTTACATATTGTAGAAGAGCTAGTGTAGATGAACAATGATTTTTAAGGTCCTACATTCTTGGACTGCCGTCTAACCGCCAGGTTCAAAATATATTTGGCTCTATATTTCACTTTGAACCACCGAAATTGGACGGTCCCAGTTTGATTCGTTTAGTCTACATATGTATATCAATTTGATTTGACACCAAGCGACACTCAAGTACGGTAATCGGGCAGCTTGAGGCGGGAATGATCGCATTTCCTCGGATATCTCTGGCAATAATAGTTTTTAGTCTCAAGTGCGCTGGATAAACATTGGCAGTGTAATATATGTTCAAACGCATTTCACAACAGCTCCTCGCCGCATTCCGCATCTCCTGCTTCGTTTCCTCCTTGAGCATCACCTCATTCTGCCAGTTTTTTTGTTTTATAGCTTTCTTTTCAAAAATTTGGCGAGCTCAAGAACATGAAGGATTAATTCGATTTTCTTTTACATTGGACTTACTGCTGTTTTTCAACCCCAGTAATCCAAAATTCCATTTCTTATTTCTGTTTTCGCTCGTATACTGTATCTCACTCTTTCTCAACATCGTTTTGTGATGGACGTATTTCAACGTTGCTTAGTGTCATATCAAAGGGCAGCCGTTATGCTATTCACTGTTCGCTTTCGTCAAACATTGCTGCCAACTGCTCTCCGCGTGAGTTTCGGCGACATGCCGTGCATATGCCTCATCCATGCTTCGAAATGCATTATGCTCTTTTGTTTGAAGGATTCGTAACATGTTTTTCTTTCGTTTCCGCTCTCTTTTACGGGCTCGGAGGTAAGGTGTGGGCATGCTGAGCAAGAAGCGCAGAGTTTTGCACTGACTGAACTCTTGTTTTGAGTAGTAGTTGTTGCTAAAGTCATTTTTGCCTCCGTATCACTGTTGAGGTCATGTTCAAGCGATTCTCACGCAGATAGGGTTTAGAAAACAAAGTTTCTTCTATCTTATCGTTAGCCATGAGGCTGACATTTGGGCAGGCATGAGATGGAAATTATTATAATGCCACATTTGAAAATGAATCTGGAAAACTGTAGCGGAAAAGGAGGTTGGTGTTCAAAGGAATCGTCCCCGAAAAATTCTTGCATTTTTCATCAGCATGAATTCGTCAGTTGTGATCATTAGAGACAAAGTACAAAGTTTCACGGAGAAATTCTGTTTGCGAAGAGAAACAAACCCACGAAAACCACACTGGGGGACGGTCTCGGGTAGGTGGGGCGGAGACAAAAAGCGCGCCAACATTTGTGACAGGTGTATGGCGGGAATTGGATTCCGTAGCGGTCCTCTAGTTTTCCGAATAGCTTGCAAAGCGAACGCAATTTTTCGTTTTTCTTTTTCTTATCGTGAAGTATAGCTCTCAAACTGCGGTTTATGGAGCAGTGATTTTTCCACGGACGATTCCTCGAGTATGCTACTCTGAAATCGTTGGTTAGTACGAGCGATGCAGTGCTCAGCTTCTTCCATGACGAGTTACAGTATTTTAAATGCGAGATACACTCGAGTACTTTTCGAGTTCACGAAATGTCATTTTTTCTTATCTTATCTTACGATACAGTTGTAG